TCTCCAACTCTTTCCTAAATAAAGTTTTAACCCTCCAACAATTAATAGTGAAGTTTTGGCCCTCGATCTAATAAAGTAATATATTTGTGGCCTTTCTGTCAAACCCAGCAGTTAAATGTGACGGAAAGCATCATCTAATGAGACGCGTGACCAAATATCAAGGGCATTATAGTCTCTAAGTAAAGACAAAGTAAAAACATTTTCACCACTCATTTTCTCTTCAACAATTTCCACCCCTTTTGCTCCAAAACGCTAGTGCAAAAAAATCAAACTACTCAATCCAGATGCTGCAGCGAAAGTGCTAATTGCTAGCATGGGAGGGGTTGTAAAGGCATAATGGAGTGGCAAATACGGAGGAGAGATGACTACTTTGATCTGTACCTTGTTTATGGTAATTGAAATTCTTGTTTACTAATCCATTTGGGTTTAAGATTTGTTTATACACATGTGTAATGGAACTTATTTGTTTATATGTTTGGGTAATGGTGATGTCGGGAGGCTAAGTGGTCCAATTTGTGGTCCTACTTTGTTTGTTGTAAATTGACAATGTCGGACAAAGGGGGTTGTTTTGAAAGTGATGTATTTTAATGGCCGAAAAGGGACACTTTATTTCTTTAGGATCTTTTTTTTTTTTGCTGAATTTAACCAATTCAGTATTTCATCTGTCAGCCTTTATGTGTTTTTTCGTTATGTTGTTGACTGTTTTATCCCAATTGCCACTGTAGAGACTGATTCTGAACGGTTTACTATTCGGATGCATCATGGGGTAAGAATTATATGGGAACAGTATGTATGGTTTGCTAATGGAGAGGTGGACTATGTAGATGTTTGTGATGCCGAAAGAATGTCAACCATTGAACTAAATAAAATGGTGGAGAAAATGGGATATCATAAAGCTGTCATAATGTACTATTACCTTGAACCAAATAAGCATATATCTAACATATGGTTTAAGAGAATTGTGCACCGATGATGACGTTAACAAATTTTGTGCTTGGACTTATAAGTACAAGGTAATAGAAGTCTATTATAACCATTTAATAGCTGAAGAAATTAACAGTTGCAAGTCTCCCATAGTGATTCAACCAGCACAGTAGAAGAAGAATGGTATTTTGATAACAAAGTTGGATGAGGAAGGTAGTATAGTAGAGGAATCTTTTTCTCTTGTAGTTCCTAAGAGGAGACTGTTCATTAGAGATTCAACTGGAGGACAAAGTGTTGGTAGAAGAACAGCCAAGAACCAGTAGCATGATGTAGATTGTAGTGACGCACGGGCTTTTAAAGACCAGAATTTTGATGTAGTTCATTTAAGTGGAGAACAAACTGGGGCTAATTCCTTAGATTATATGTATTTAAAAAAACAACCGCCAAATGCGCCTCTGACAGGTGGTGTTTCCGATTCTATAGCTGCCGTGCTGACTCAGCACGACTGCAGACGTCTGCAAAAAATTCAATGGTGCAGCAGGTATCAGACGCGACGTGCTGACTGGGCACGTCTGCAGCCGACACAAATCAGTGGCAGTCTGTTGTGTCAGCCGCAAACGTGCCCAGTCAGCACATCCACGTCTGACACTTAGAAAAAAAAATAGTTTTTACGGAGATTGGTTTTTAGAGTTAGGGTTTAGGATTTTTGGATTAGGGGTTCTGCGTTAATGTTTTAGAGTTAGGTTTTTAGAATTAGGGTTTTTGCTTTAAGGTTTTAGAGTTAGGGTTTTAGGATTTTTGCTATGCAATATAATTGGATATAAGTTATGAATTATGTGATTTTGTGTGTTTCTTTCAAGGCATACGAAGTTCGTTTTGCAAGTTTATAATAAAAATTGACTAATTTTAGTATTTCAAATTAAGAACACGAGCCAACACTAATTTTAGATTTTAAATTTAATTACTTTAGTTTTGAGTTGGACTAACTCGTATATTTCATTTGGGCTTACATTCATTGTATTAGAGTCAGGTAGGTAATTTCTGACTTTTGTGTATTTTTGTGAATTAATTCTGACTTTTCAGGTATAATTAGGGGTTTTAGTAAATTTATTAAGCTTAGGATTTTAATTTAACAACTTTAGAAACTAGATTGAATAATCTTTTGTTTGTAGATTTGTTAATCACTTTGGTAGTCTAATTAGCCTAAATTTGAGTAGATTATTAATAAAAGGTTAGTAAAAAAATGATTTTTTAAGAATTTGCATTTGGCCCCTTAGAATTTTAAATTTATATTTTTACCCATAATTTTTTATTTTTTATTTTAGCCCCCATGGATCTTTGTTGCCCTTATCAATAACATTGTCCTAAACTCTTTAATCCGTCGTTCATGTTTGTAACTCTAGTTTATTATTTGTTTTACAATGCTAGTGGGTTTCTTTTTAATCACATCTGATCAAGTATTTAGGGTTACACTTTTGTATTTAGGGTTTAAGGTTTAAGTAATTAGGATTTAGGAAAAAATAAAATTAAACGTAGATGAAATTTAAAGTTAAGGAAAGTAACATTCATTAGATAACTACCTAACACAGTCATTATTTACACGTGATCAATGCTTAGGACGCATGTTGCCTTTGCTCTTCCCCTTACCCTTACCAACATTTTGCGGCGTTGTGGAAGGGCAGCAAAATCTCTTCGGTCGTCGTCTTTGACGCTCGCCAAGAACGACACCAGGATGATTGGGCTCGTCATGAGATGACGAATCATCCTTGGAACCACTATCAGGGTCAACGTCATCCGTCTCTAATGCATCGGAAGTATCGCTACTCTCAGAATTGTTCGTGGAAGGATAGTTGACAAAATCTCCTGTCGATACATGACCGGATGCATAACTCGGCTGGTCGGTAGACGGGAAGACCGATGGCTGTCCGAGACTGTAATAATACGAAAGCTCCAATGATGAAGAAGTGCCTCCCGTTCCACTAAGAAAAGTGAATATAGGATGTAATGCTGTAGGGGAAGAAAAGTTTCCTGTCATGGGGACATGCTCATATGGAGGTAATTGTGATGAAGAAGGAAATCGTGGATCAAATCCATACATGTCTGCAACTGGCGTCGGTGGTGTAGCAAATGGAGAAAATTGTTGCGACGGTGTTGCTTGTGCACCAATGGTCATCGACGCTGGCTGTGGAATAAACATGTCCTTAGATACATGACGCCTTGCAGCCATCCCCCGATCTACTCCCGGCACTGGTGAAGATTCGAATGGGGTAAATTGCTGAACCGGAGGCATGTGCGGATGACCAGTATCTATTCTGGTGACTTGAACAGCAGGTTCAACAACGGTCGATCCATCGTACTGATCATGTCTCCTCTGTCTACCGCGACTAGACGAAGGTCCTGTATGAGATGGAACTCGTCAGCCAGGTGTCTGGAATGGGACATTTGATGTCGAAAGATGCCCAAAATTGAATGGATCGGACTGTCCTACAACCATACGATCAAAACGTCTGACCTACTGCATCGAACCATATGCACCATCCATGATGGTCCAGAGACGTGGATGTGCTCTTTCTCCGATATCATCAACATTAATAACATCCTGTGTCTGCTGACCAATACGCTTCATAGCACCCATCTGTAACAAAAAAATGATCGCGCAGTTGTTAGGAATAATTATATAACGCACCTATGCTAAAAAAATGGTTCCCAATGACAGAAGTCTCAAGTAAATGCATACCAAATATTCAAATTGCCCAGAGACTCCCTGAAGTATTTGGCCCATCTGCGGATTCTGGTCACTAAGGTTCGAAATATATAGAACAGTGTGCTTGTGATACCATTTGAGATAATTATTTGATGGGTTGAATGTATTAGCAAGCTGATCTGTGACCTCCGCGTTTACGCGAGCATTCCAATATTGTATCCACGCCCTAAGAAATTGGGCCCAATTCCTTCCAGGATAGCCCGACAAATCGAGCTGATGAAGCCCCTTCGGATTTGTGTTAATAGGTTCGGGAACTTTTTGAACTAGTTCAAACTGACGCATTACCCGATCTGGACAGTGAAACCCAATAATGTGCCAAAATACGAGGGGAACTCTGGCCCGCCAAATGTGCTTGCCGTGTCTGCAATATCGTGGTAATGCGGCCAATCTTTCCTCACTATACGGCATCCATATGAACTGTCATAACGAAAAATTAATTATTTATTTTCACAAAGAATAGGGTATATTAGCATATAGTAACTGAAGCTTTAACATGTAAAATATCTCATCCATGCGTAGCAATGCAATATGCTCACGATAGTAGCTGCTGCGCCTACCCGGCGGATCAACCCCTGTACGTTCAGCTGCCCATCTACCAGCTACCGGAAATTCACCGGTCTCAAGCACTGGATACATCTTCAGTCGAATGTTGGGAATCCATTACCATGCCCATATTTGGAGTAATAGATAAGGGCCGCCTGTGGTAGTGGTAGAAGCACGCGAAGCGTGACACAAACGTGAGTATAAACAAGCTAGAGTCGCTGACCCCCAACTGTACTCCCCCATCGCTTCCAAATCTCGAACATAGTCTAACCAGTTCAGACTAACAACATTCCAGCAGGAATCCGTGAATAGTAGACCACCCAATAAAATCAATATATACATGCGAGTCTACTGTCGTACCAGTTCATCAGGAGCATCCGGAGGTACTGGCGTAGTCAACTGTCTGTACATAGAAGACATCTTCAGGCAGCCACCTTTTAGCATCACATCTTCCGGCCAAAATCCTAAAACCTCACTCACCAACTGTTTGCGCTCTTATACAGTTCGCCTAACGTGATGCAGTGTAACGGGACGCCCGTCCACGCGTAGACCCCATAGCACCTCTACATCTTGCAAAGTTATCGTCGACTCGCTCATAACTGGAAGATGGAAGGTATGCATCTCCTATTTCCAGCGCTCAACGAGAGCTGTGATGAGTCCATAGTCTACAGTAAGATATCCAACCACTCGATCACCACGAAATCCTACTTGATCTATATGGTGCGCCACTCGTGGATCCAAATTGCGTAGGGGTTGAAAGAATCTTTTGTCACATCTTCCTAACATCAAAGTCTGCACCTACGCCATTGAAAACTGCGGCGGACCTATGCTCGAACTGTAGATACAGAACACTATCGCCAATCGGTCCCTGATGGGCGGCTGCCGAGGATCCGATATGCCAACTCTCCATTAACCTACACGGACAAATTTCAATAAAATATTATTCATATATTTTGGATTCAGATTTATATGCTATGGCATAGTAAGAGAGTTTGGTAACGTCAGGTTATAAGGCTAATTTCTCAAAATATACGTTAAAAAAAATCTCCTTGCTGATATATATATTTATAAATATATTTGGAAATATATTTATTTCAAAAAAATTAATAAAATATCTTTATTAATAAAAGAAGCCAGGTTATAAACATGCAAATTTAGCATTATATAGTTAACAAAGCATAGGCACATGTACACATTTTTTCAAAATCCAAACAAGAATACGAATTAAAATTAATATATAATTTGTACATTTTATATAATAAAAATTACAAATCAACGGGGACGGACAACAACATTTGATACATGGACAATTAGGAGCAGTGTGCCCGGGTTGCAAGCAATTACTACAACGACGCGATGCATCAATACATCTTCAGTCTATCTCATTCCTGATTCTACTGGTCTTCAATGGTCTAGGTGCTTTCTGCTTCAGATGATTAGTTAGGAGGCTTAGTCTCAACTCTGCTACGGGCCAATATTTCGGATCTCTTTACGAGTTGAAAGGACTCTCATATGTGGCTTGATAAGCTTCAAATGTGTACTCCGGCCCGACAAGTGACATCAGATTAAGGCCAGACCTAAAACATGCTGCAATCGCATGCGAACATGGAAATTTGAGTTCTCTCCATTTTTCACATGTACACGTACGGTTTTCAATGTCAACGGTTTGAGCATGACCACCTACATGAGTTTGGCGATATGCAGTGGTTATGCAATAATTTCCCCGCCTATGATCGAACACCTGCACCGAGTGCGCCCTGCCCTTTTGCTCATTTGCAACATATTTCTTCCATCCATACAGTGGCAAGTGATACATCTGATCCCAGGTCATCTTGTGATTTTTCACAAACAAATCCACTCTTTGGTTGAAGGTGTATCGAATCAAGGCAGTGATTGGGAGGAAGCGACTTTCTTGCAGCAAGTTATTGAAGCACTTGACCATGTTTGTTATTGCATGACCCCAACGATACCCTCCATCCTTACATAAGGCCCACTGCTCCGACCTAACGGATCCACCAGTTAGCCAGGCATATGCCTCGGGTGAAAGACTAAAGATGACACTCATATATTCCTCATACTTGCGAGTCTGATTTGCCTTTCCGGCACCCCATATGAGACTCTTTAACCTACAAATACAATTCCCGCATTACTTAAAAATCAGACCAAACTAGCCATATGTAGGAAAGTAAAAAATAATTCTTAGGGGTAACTATATTTGACTCGTAAAAAAATTACCTTTCATTCCTAAATTTCTGAGTGAAATTACTGCGAATGTGAACCAAGCAGAATCGATGGACCCCTAACGGCTCTTTCCACTCCTCTAGCCACCGCATGGTGTGGATGATCCCGTGGTGTCGGTCTGAAATTACGCATACGTTTTGTACATCTCGACATACGTGAATGCGCAATAATCTCATGAACCAACTCCAATTTCGATTATTCTCCTCATCAACGAGTGCAAATGCTAAAGGGAAGATATGGTTTCAGGCATCAAACCCAACCGCTACTAGCAATTTTTCCTGATATGGTCCCTTTAAGAATGTTTCGTCCATACAAATGACTGGTTTCAGGTGATGGAATGCTTGGATAGCAGGAGCAAATGTCTAAAATACATAGTCAAAAATCGTCTACGATGATGTACTCAATGGATGATAGTCCCAAACTACAACCGTCCCAGGGTTGGACAATTGGAGTTCTTGTACGTATGTTGGGAGTTGTGAAATAGATGTCGGCCAATCACCATAAACAATGTCAATTGCCCGACGTCTGGCGTACTAAGCCTTTTTGTACGTCACATCGACGTGAAACTCCTTTTTCACAGAAGTCTGAATTTCCTTCACTTTGTACAGCGGACCATTGATAATGTAGGGAATAATATGTTGGGCAATTAGATCGGCACTCAACCCCCGATAGTCATTGGTATTGCACACACGGACACATGTATGCCCAGGTACAAGTGACACGATCATCCACATTTTGTGAGAGGCACGGAGAGTTGCACGAATTTGCCAATTGCACGGAGGTGTGGAGTTTCGGGCTCTACAGCGCACAAACCAAGTTGTAGGTGTGCTAGCCCGAACTTTGAACTCTCTGTTCTCTTTTATAGACCACAATTTAACTGCTCGCTTTACATGCCCTTTCGTCTCGAACAGTTGGCCCAACTCCAATTCTTTCATGCGCTCACTCCAGAACTTTAGCTTTTCGGCCTCTCGAGTATCAAGCGGGTCAAATTGCAGTATAGCATCAACTTCTGCTTCATATCGCAAATTGGGACCTTCACTTTCGACAAAAGATTTGGCAAATGTCGTCTGATCCCGTGCTTGGATAGAATGAACCGGATAGACATCATCTTGGTCGTCGTCACTACCAGAATCGTCATCATCTGGCTCTGGTTCGGAACCAATTTCGACATCAACTAAATCAATGTCGGTATGCGAAAGAGGATCTAACATTGAGGAAGTTGGGATATCCGCAGCATGAGCCATAATTGTTGACTTATGCATACTTGGCCGACTACTGGTGGTTGGACGGTCAATTTCTCTGCAACGCATATTGCCTTTTTGTCGTCCTGTTCGGGACGGGAGATCATCGGCCATCTCTACTTCAGTAAGCTGACTATGGTGGAGATTCGTAGTGTCAAATAAATGGCAAGGTGGTTCGGCCTGAATCCCACTTCCAATTTCAAAAGTTTGACTATCATTACCACAATAATTCGATATCTCCTCAACTTCAATATAAATTTCAGTGGATTGTCGACTACCAGATTTTAGGTAGTACATACCAGCCACTCCATTATCACAAGCATGTAATAACCAGTAGCATGTTGGAGAAATCGATACACAATAAGAAGGAAAGAGCTGTCAACAGCCTATTGAAGAAGAAGGACATGGAAGAGATGATGAATATTCTGGATCAAAAAATGACAGTGACAGATTCAGTGGTGATATAGAATATTATAGAGATGAGCCTCTTCTTGATGATTTGACATTGGAGCCAACTCAGTGTCGAAGCACATTAGAAAATGTCCAAACTGAAGGACCTTCACAGCAGGGAGGAGTTTCAACATAGCAGCCTACTACTAAACAGGCTGAAATACAAGAGTCCCCACAACAACAGCAAGCACAGCAGAAAAAAAACAAGTAAGGCGACGAAGAAAAACACAACAGTAGCAGCAAATCCAAGATTCTACACCTGACGTAGATGCGTTGGCAGAAAATACAATCCCAGATCATTTAAGTAATGATGCTGATTCATCAGAGAAAGATCAAGAAGCTGAGTAGTATGCTAGTAGGTATAAAGATTTTTCTTGGAAAAAATTTAGAATTGATACAAGGTTCGAGTTGGGTTTGAAATTTGAGTCAAGAGTCCAATTCAAAGTTGCTATCCAAGAATATTGAATTAAGATGGGAAAGCTAGAGTACACAAAGAAAAATGAACCAAAGATGGTGAGAACCAGGTGTAAAGATCCATGTCCATGGTTTGTGTTTGCCTCAGTTGAAAAGGCACTTGGCACAGTAAATTTGGTGGTGAAGACAATGTATGAAAAGCATGAAAACTGCAATCATGCTTGGAAAAATAAAACTTTGAAGGCCAATTGGTTGTCAAATAGATATATGGAGAGAATTAGATCAAACACTCACATGCCAACTCAGGAAATTAGGCAAACAGTGCATGAGTACCAAATTCAAATTTCTAAATGGGTGGCTTCTAATGCGAGGAAAATGGCTCTCAAAATGATACAGGAGTCTGCTAAAGCATAGTACAAGAAAATTTGGGAATATTGTGCTGAAATAAAAAAGAAACATGAAGGGAGTACAATACAGGTAATGTTTACTCCATTTAGAGGACCAAGGGGTAATCCTAAATTCATGAGGTTATACTGCTGTTTAGGACAACTGAAGAAGGGATTCAAGAATGGCTGTAGGCCAATAATAGGCCTGGATGGTTGCCATCTAAAGGGGATTTATAGAGGACAGTTACTAACTGCCATTGCTGCAGACCCGAATAATGGATGGTGGCCCATTACTTGGGCAGTTGTGGAGAGAGAAGCAACTGAGTAATGGGCTTGGTTTCTCAAATATCTAAATGAGGACTTGGAAATCAAAAATCGGTGCCACTATACCTTTATATCAGATTAGCAAAAGATATGATATTAACAATATATGAAACTTTCAAAGTCAAAATTCCTTTCAAATATGGTAGAAGCTAATAGCCTGTCATGATTCTATTATAGGAGTTAGACAGGGCACTTACTGAAGTTTTGCCTAGATGTGAGCACAAGTATTTTTGCTGTCCTTTCAAACATATATATTTTTATCAAGTTTTCTTTTGCATTATAACTTTTCAACTATTTAATAACAACTAAAATGAGTTTGTGAGGACAGGTACTGCGTCCAACATATGTGCCGCAATTTCAAAAAAAAACATCCTGGTTTGGCTCTTAAAGACAGGTTATGGAATATAGCATGTTACAGAACAGTGGAAATGTACAACAGAGCTATGGATGAACTTCAAACTTTTGATAAGGAAGCATATGAATGGGTCAAGAAAGCGCCTCATCCTCGGCATTGGTGCAAGGCATACTTTCCAACTCACGTCAAGAGTGATATGATAGTGAACAACTTATTCGAGTCCTTCAATGCTCATATTAAAGATGCAAGGGACCAACCTATCATCAAAATTTTGGAACTGATAAGGGAATATCTTATGGACAGGATCCAAAGAAGACGAGCTGCAATGGAGAAATACAAGGGCTCCACTGGACCTTTAATTAATGAAATTGTTGAGACTAAGGTCAAGCATTCAAGTCAGTGGATGCCCATTTGGAATGCACTGCATGGCTATCAAGGCAAGGGTACAAGAGGGGCCCAATTTGTAGTAGATATGAAAAAAAATTATTGCACTTGCAGATGATGGGAGGTTAGTAGAATTCCTTGCTGTCATGCAATTGCTACTATCTTGATGCGAGAAGAGGATCCTTACAATTATCTGGATCGTTGTTATAGCAGAGGCCTCTTCTTCAAGATTTATGAGAATATTTTGCAGCCAATTAGTGGCGAGGATCATTGGCCCTCATCCACCATGCCTGTGTTGAATCCACCAATATCAGTTACTCAACCTGGTAGGCCTAAAAAGGCCAGGAGAAGGGATGTGACTGAGGGGAGAGATCATGGTAGAAGGTTGAGAAGGAGGATTGTCATTCATTGTAGAAAATGTGATGGGGTAGGCCATAACGCAACTACATGCAAGAAGCCTCCCAATGAAGAAAATCAACAAGGTTCTAACAGGTCATCCGAGACTCAACCTAGTAATCAGCAAAGGCAGCAACCAGCAGAAAAAAGGAGGATAGTAAGTGCATTAAATCTGTTAATTTTTCACTATTCTCCATCTGTCATGTACTTACACATATCTGTTGAAAGTCTCATACGAATCATGAACCAAGCCAGTTTTCTTAAAATTTGCAACAACAAACTCAACAAGCTAACGATGAAACTGGGCAGCAACATCCACAATAGGCCCAACAACATCATCATTCACAGCAAAGAAAAAACTCGGCTGCAAAGCCGCTTACTGATGCAGAAAAAGGAGCCATCAATGCTAACTATGCTTATTTGGGTAAAGAACCCCTATTCACAGTTGGGAACTGGAAGGGAAATGGAGTAGAAGAGGCAAGGGCAGAGGAAGACAAGTTGAAAGAGAAATGGGAAAAGGAACAGCCACTAGAAGAGGAATTCAGCCATGATAGACTAAACTTTTGTCAAAACTCTTATTGTCTTATGCTGTGTAAACTAATGGTGACAATTCATTACCATATCAGAACATATTTTTGTGTCTAGTAGTTCTTCTTTATTATTATTTTTTTTGTCTAGTAGTTCCTTGTTGGTAAAATGCTGATTCTGCTTTGTATTATAGCCAACTTTTGATGCTCATAAATGTAGAGAAATTCCTAATTTTATGATGAAATTTAAAATTTTTATAACTTGGTTTTGAATCCATGGTAAGATTTCATAGCTTGTGTCTAGTTACTTCATAAATGTACTACGCAAGTGATTAATATATTTGATACAACATGGCTTTATCTGCTCCTTATTGCACCATTATTATGACTTTTTTCAAAGCACAATACAAAACAATTCATTGAGTCGAATAAATAAACTACAACATTTTCATTTAATAAAAAGAGACAACCAGATATTTCATTGGGACAAACACAAACACAGATTTGATTACAAGCTTTGCGGATACATCATACAACTATAAATAAAAAATTTACATTAAAAGGAACAATTTAGATCATCTTCTTCCCCTGCAAACTTCAACTTGGTAAGGGCCA